GTGGCGAGGCTGTGCTTGCCAGCAAAGGGAAGGTTCTCCCCACCGTACTTGATGTAGGAAATGCAGCCATCGAAGCCTAGGAGAAAAAGCAACAGTCATGTTGGGACCTGAAGACCGAGTATGCACTGTCAACAAAGGCCAAAGACACTCTGAGCATCAATGTCACTCTAAAGGGGAAACCTTTTGAACCAGCAGATGACAAGATCTGTGGTGTGCCTCTTGCCCCCTGAAACGAAAGGGGAAACACAAATACAGAAGCAACAAAATGGAAAACCCAGTGCTACAATGGAGGCAACAGCCTTATTTTGTGATGTTGTTTTAAGTAAGGTGCAGGGTAAATCACGCTGTTAGTTACGCACGTGAAGCCTCCATATTTTCATGACTGAATCTTATGTGTACTGAGCTTATGGTTGCTTCCCCACACTTTTAGCTTGTGTTGTGATTACTGTAAAAATATCTGCAATGTTAACCACATAACGGTGCAATAGCTGAGTAACTTCACTTATTTTGCTACATCTAATCTAGTAGGATTTAATGTCTTTAAAATGAATTTGAACAAATACTCCTTCTAACAACTTCATTCAATTTACTTAAATGTTTTCACTTCCTAATTTTCCCATATTTCTAAAACTTCTTATCATCTACACAGAGAAACCTGTGCACAGCTGGTTTGGCTACGCTAGCAGAAAATACTAGCTTCCATTCCCCTTTGCTTGTGTGCTTTCCTCTTTCCCCTATTCTGAGCTGAAGTTGCCTACCGTGCTTCAGCTAAGCCTCCTGTCTTACCATCTCCTAAAATCATGGCAATACTTTTATGTCTCTGAATATTGAGTGACTTTTTGCCAAACTTCCCACTGCTTGGCTGTAGTGCTACCCTCTCAGTAGTGATGTTGATTTTCAGTGCTGTGAGAGCCCAGGGAGATGGGATTATCCACGGCCTTTGTGCGGTGGTTGTGTGTGAGGTCGCAGGAAAATCCACCTGCCTTTTGCCAGCCTAAGAATTTTCTGTGTTCTCCAGACTTCACCCTTTCTGCAAGGGTTTTAGGATAGTCCAACCTCATGCTGACCTCTACTCGGAGCTGTGACAAAATGGTGTGCAGAGATGTGTTTGTAAGTAATGCTCCCAGTGTCCACATGCGTGGTTGATGTAGGAAACATGGTTATTTCTCCTTAACTTCTAATGGGTTCTCCTTGGGATGCTGTGCGTCATGCCAGGTTTACAGGAGAGTATTATTCAAGACCAAAATTATCAGCCATCATCAATAAAAATAATCAACAAGCAGAAGGAAAGTGCCACTACTCTGTTCTGAAGCATCGCGCTCGAGTGAAACGAACAGGAGCAAATTTTCCATGCATTAGTAGTGGCAGAGAAAGGTTCATTTCTGCAAACATATTGCTGGAATGGAAGAACAGCCACTATGAATGGTAACTTTGTGAATAAGTGTGGAAACCTCTGTAAAAACGGGTAGCACAGAGAAAAAGGTTATGCATATTTACTCTGTCATGAAATAGCAAATGTACTCAAGTTGTATGAGGTGATATTACAGATTTACAATCTTCAAAGTATGTTGCTTTAAAATTTGAACACGCTCTGATGTCAGAAATGAAATATGAGTTGGGTACCAACATCAAATATGTTTCACTGAGAGATGTAAGTCATGTGGTGTAAAGGGACATGAAAGAGCCTTCTAAGTTTTGCAAGCATGCTATTTCTGTATCATTTCCATTCTGAAAGAGATGTGTTGTCTTTCAACATTGCCTATATTTTAATTTTCTCCTGTTCTTACAGTCCCAAACAAAGAGGAAATGGAGTATTTAGGTTCAGGTGGGAGCCCAAGCAAAATGGACGATTACTTTGCCACATGCCTGGTAGTCCCTTGCCACAGTGATGTGATAAACAGCAACCAGGATTTTGTCAGGTCTACCTGGGTTTGAAAACGTTTCTGGATATACCAGCTTCACAACCCTGGAACTGTCACCCATGTGTGTTTCTGTCTGCCTTTAACAGTACTGCAGATATTTTTGACTCTGAGTTCATGGAGAGTTTTATACCTCCCCCTTGTAAATCCTTGGTATGTCGTACACAATGTAATCCAATATTAAAATAAAATAAAATCATATGAATAAAAGATTTTGGATTGTGTATTCCTAATGGAAGCCAGACATTCCTAATTTGTCTGCCACAGCATCAGGGAGTGGTGAGAAGTCAGTATCCTCAGTTTTCTTTGTTCCAGCTTTCCTAAGAGCCTCCGATTTTTCCATGCATACGGTGCTCATAAAACATATATGTAAAAAGGGTAAAGGTTAGCACAGCATCCATATGATTTCATACCACATTTCATGCAAATTCACAATACACAAATGTGAAGTGTGAATTTACTCCACTCAAAGATACTTTATATGGTCACTATTCTTGGAGTCAGGAAGATTTTTCAATACAAAAACTCTGTGACACCTACGCTTACATTATCTGGAGTATCTCACAGTTTGGAGCTAAAAATCACTTCCATCTTTACTTATCACTGGGGGAATGATATCAAATATATGTTATCTACTTCTTTTGCCAGGGTTTAAAACAGCTGCTTTAACTCTTGAGGGAGACTGATTTACTTCTAGAACAGCTAGATGCCGGTCAGAGGGTTGTTCCTTATCGTCCTTGGTTTCTGTTGCTCAGAAATAAATCCTAGTCTTCATTTGACAGCAGGATAAAGCAGGAGGAAGTTGGAGTTTCAGAAAATATTTTAATCATATTAATAACAGGCTAAATCCTGCAGTACTTACCAAACCCCTACAGAGACAAAGTTCTCATTAAGCATTTTTGCCCAAGTAAAAGATTTGCCTTGATTTTCCAGATTCTGAGCCAGTTAAGGTATAGATCCTTTCCTCTCCATTAGTATAACAAAATTATAACAACTGATTTATAGACAAGCAAGCCAACCCACCCCCTGCCTCCAAAAAGCCCTGCAGATGGAGTGCCTGCTTTTGGAAACAACAAGGCTGCAAAGCGTACTAAAGGAACGAAGTCTGCAATCCTTACTCATTCAAACTGCCATTTTTCTGGCAAAGGATGGAAGTATACTAATTACTGATAAAGAATAACAGTACTTTCTGCAACCTTTAAGCAAACAGAGACCCTTTGTTCAAATGTGCTTATGAGCACTATATTAAAAAAAAAATAATAAAAATTACCTGCAACTGTGCTCTTGAAAGGTTGGCTTGATGGGATTCCTCCCAAAGAAATTGTAAGAACATTTAGTCCACCAAAGTCTTGTGTGGCATGGAGGATGTCTCGGCTATGAATCTCGTCGACCGACAGGATAGTAGCAGACCCGTTCTTCTCAATGAGTACCGAATGCCACTGACCATCCGCAGCGTACACTTCTGGGATATTTCTTTCCACTTTCCCAGCAATTCCAGCATCGGATATGTAATGCACTTTTCCGCCTTTTATCTGATCAGAAGAATACAAAATGCATCATTTGAAAATGATATACACATAACCGCTCCTATACACATATAACCAATGTAATGCCTATTCAGTAGAGCTACAGTAACACGTGGCTTCAGTTGTAATAGGAAGCCTGGATGTATTTTTCCCCTAATAATTGTTTGGCACTAAAAATGCATTAATTATTTAGTACTAAAAATTTGGCCGCAATTAACTACATCATTGCATCTGTAGAAAACTTATTTTTTTTTTTGTCATCCACTCATTCCCTGGCTAATCTCATAAGGGAAAAACCTATTGAAAGGCCAGCATTTTAACCAATAAAAGAATAATTCTTCCTCCTTCTTCAATGCAAGTGTAGAAAACGCTTTGCAGAGTAAACAGATGTTGTCCTTGACAAAAAAACTTTTCATTATCACACAGTAGGAATATATACAGCATAGCAGGACTTCAGCAAGATTCCCATTTTATATCTGCTTTTTTCTGCCAATTTGCATTTTGCAGAAAAATTGTTGTATTTTAGAAACCTTTCTGAAGACTTGCAAAGTGTGTTATTTTGTGGGAATTTTCAAATGGTGCTTACTTGAGCAAACTGCTTTTAAACTTGTGAGCCGTTAGGAAAAAAAAGGTACTATTGAATTCCATGAAAAATTTTTTGGCTTTTCCTCTAGGAATGACGCCTCGCAATTCTACTGAATCATGAGATGCAGGATTTCAAACCTCTTATTAGCTCAATATTAAATGATCACAAAATGAGATCAGTGCAAATTCTGCATTTAAGATACAGGAGTTTAAAAAAAAAAACCACACAACATCCAAACCCGCCAGCTTCTCAAATATTGCATAAAAGTCGGGTACGTCAGCGGACCTCCTAAAGACATACAGACTTGTGTACAGCTCATACAGGGTGGCTCTGCCGCTTGTTGCAAGTTCCCTTCCACACCCTGCACGTTTGGTCATACACGTTTTAATAAAACGACTATTTTCCTCCAGTGTTCCTGGCTGCAGCTCGGTCGGTCCGTCATCTGTCACACGAGCGTGCAGAACGTGCACACCCACAGTCCAGGAAAGGTTGAAGCCCCAGGTTTGTTGAAAGCTCTCTAAGCCTCGCATGCTTTGTTCCAGGAAAAATAACGTTCACCTGGGAAGAACTGTGAGGTGACACACCGGCTACAAGAATGCTGCTCTCATTTCCAGAAACTGTTAAATGCTCTGGATTTACTTCTTTAGTGATGCAAGCTGAGGACTTTGTTCATACAGATCAGCTTTAATATGGCTGTAAGACCACGCTCATGTCTTGGCAGCAGCCTGAACTAAATGTATCTAGCACGTATTCCATTTGGATCAAGAAATACAATGGTTAATACGTACATGCGCTTCATTTATAAATGCAATAATTTGGACTGTTTTAAAATGTATTGTTTGAGGGACTCTTTGATAAAGCTGCCCCTCAGAGATACAATGCTTTTGTCGCTGTCAAAGACAGGTTGTGCACATCTAAAGTATCATGCAGCCCAAAGAAAATCCCACATTTGGAAATGCAGTCACACAGACTATTATAATATATGAAATGCCATTTGCCACAATCAAAAGCATTTATAAAAAGATTAACTGGGCCAAATATATACATATGTCTATAACCTGTAATTGATTTGCTAGTCTTATTTTGTCTTTTAGGCTCCATGAAAATACTGCCTTGTATTTTGGTCTTTATGTAAACGAAAAGAAATATACCATATCAGACAATATCCTCTAAGCTTACGGGAAGACTAAGCACAGAATTGTTACTTTTAATTCCACATTAGAGAAGAATCGTAGAATTATTTACCTGCCAGCAACTGATATTTTCCATACTTTTAGAGACTTTTTAGCTCTATTTCTTTTTCTTTAAAATTGCATGTGACTAATGATAACAGACTCATAAATAATATACTAGTGGCATTTGTAAAACAAAATTTCCAGAGACAAGACTGGTCCATGACTTCTTCAACCAGGAAAAAATAAGGAATGTTCTTCTCAGTTCCTTGAAGCACAACATATTTCTAAATTTGAAACAAATGCTGATGCTGACAATACTGAGTAACACCCATTTCTGGGTTTTATTTAAATGGCAGAGCAACTGACAAGTAGACTATAATGAAAATAATGAACCACTAAAGCAAACATATTCCTAACTACATGGTTGATTCAACTTTACTAATGTTCTGAGTCTCCTTTACTGAACAAATTGCTTCTTATTTGTCTTAAATCTGAGCACTAGTCTTTACAGATTTATAGCCCACTGGATGAGATATCATTTAAATGAGCTATGTTCTGATTTATTTCTGCAACTTGATATGTGCATAGAATCATAGAATGGTTTGGGTTGGAAGGGATCTTTAAAGATACCTAGTTCCAACCCCCCTGCCATGGGGGACACCTTCCACCAGACCAGGTTGCTCAAAGCCCCATCCAACCTGGCCTTGAACACTTCCAGGGATGGGGCATCCACAGCTTCTCGGGGCAACCTAGGCCAGTGCCTCACCACCCTAACATATGTATATATTAGCTCACATAGGTAACGTGTAATCCACATTCTCTACCTGTACAATTCATAGCTCTTAGAGCTACAGTTATGCTAACTTAATCTGATTTCAGATGAGATTTTTCAGCTAAAACAAGGCAAGCAATTTCACCTTTAACCTGCTGTATTTATCCCATTACTTCTAATTGAATTAGTTGCAACGTTATTATTTGTAGGAAAATAATCTGTGACAAAGAGCTTTAGTAATAAGGAATCTCTTCCTTTTTGTGGGTTTTTGGGGGTGCATTTTCCATTTGAATTTGACCATTGTTTATTTTAATCTGTTAGGTTTCGCACCTTTCCTGGATTAAGGATCCTGTTATATCATAAAGACCTCTCTTGGGTTCTTTGGGGGGAGTTTACATCATTTAATGAATCAGATGCTCATAGTCTCAGTGGGTCTGATTTATTACCATTTGTCTAATTTTACCCCAATTCCAGCCACATCAAAACCAGTTAACAATAACAGGAAAAATATGGAGGCATGGAAGTAGCCCCAGGACTCATAGCTTTTCCCTAGCACAGTTTAATATGAAAAAACACACAGCAGGTTTTCTCTGAATGCTTACACTTTGGGTAACAACATTAAAAGACTCAAAAGTCAAGTTATAAAATTGTCTATTCTGAAGACTGACAAGAGAGTTGTAAACAGAAGTCCCTAAAGCTCATCTTCTGCACCAGGAGTGGATCGAGATGCCAGGGAGACCTACACGTGGGTTGGCTTCACTGACATCTTGGGCCACCGCCAAGGGAAGTGCTCATCGTGATACCCACTCTGGTATGGTACGCGGTATGATCAGAGGCGCAGAAGCCATACTGTACTAACTACAGTTAAATTACTACAGTTTTATTAACCAGCATCATCTGGAACTTTTCGGCAATAATTGGTACAGTGATGTTACCTCTCCTTCCTCAAACTGCTGCATCTGTTACCAGGCAAACCTCTGCTCTTTGCCCTTGCACAGCTGGGTCTGGGACTTGACACCCTCTGCTTGCTTGTATAACTTCACCAATATTAACAATAACAAGAGTGTTTGCATAAACACACCACTAGTGCTTTCAGCCAGGAAAGGCAACTCTTTTTCTTTTTTTTAATAATACTTGTAGAGCTGAGCTAGCAAATTCTACTAGGGAGAAAAAGGTAGTATTTGTTTTTTTCTCTCCAGAACTGAAAATAATGAGATCTTATCTTCTAATATGACCGAGGCAGAAACTTCCTACCAAATGATGTGGTAAAAGCATACGCAGGGAAGTAATGCAGACTTGCTTCTTAAGTACAGCCAGTGTGTCAGGAAAGCTCTGTACCTCTGATCGGGCAGGTGGAGAATATCCATGGGGGTGAAGCTTAGAAAGTGTGAATTTCTGTACGAGTTTCTTTAAAAGTCAGGGAAAAAACTTGGAAAGCCTTACAGCAGTCAAGGAAACTTGGAGCTTACACCAACCCAATAAAGGGGCTTGCCAACATCACTGCTGTACTCATTTAGAGTTATGAGTAAATGGACTGAGTCATAGCCAGGAACTGAACCATCGCTTTCTCTTGAGAAAGGTAACTTCTGCAGCAATAAACTCTTTGGGAACAAAACAAAACTGTGTGGCATTTTAAGCATTAATTCAGCTATGTATCTCAAAATAATTTGATATTGACATTGGTCTATGGGTAACCTCATGAATTCAAGTTATCCCTCACTTCCTAGTTTGAGAAGCATAAGCTACACTAGTAGGAATTAATGAAAACTTTTTGGCAATTGTTTGTCACCTTAAGGAGGGTCTGGGTTTGAGGCCCAAAAAAATCAGAAGATAAAAGGCCAATAATGAAACGATTTGTTCTGTAGAGTATAACTTAATGATGATAACAAATATGGCAATGAGTACTGTTCTTGCTGCCTTAAAACAGTCACTATTTGGAATCTAGACAGAACTGATTAGATACAAAACCATCAAGATCTTCTGATACCTTGGCAAATAGCAAGGGAATTGTTGAGAAGATGAATGATACTGGAGCAGTGCCTAGCCTCAGTTAAAGACCTACTATTTTATAAAGGAAACAGCAAGAGTAATGGAAAAATGTGATTTTGATCACTATGCACAAGGCAGTCCAATCAAATCAAACTCAGCATTAGCTGTAATCTTACCTTCACGGTAGTGAAGTTGCTGCTTTCCTGGACGTGAACTAAAACGCCGTTCTCGCTTCTTGTCCTGAACTTCACTTCCAAGCGAACCACATTCGGGGGTCCCAGGACAGTGCCTCGAGTGCTGTGTCTCATCATGTATTCTCGCTTCTTGTTTGGGCTCATGTGGTAGTCAAGTCGTCCTTTGCCTTCCAGCGATAAGGCAGTGTCGGCAGTAATATCTGGGACAAGGACGAGGAAGTACTGAGTACATAGCTCGTTACAGCTACAGCGATCATCTGCCTAATAACGACCATTTTCGTACAGAACAGAGATCAAGTTCAGAGCAGGTCAGGGGGGAGAGCAGGAGTGAATGGCAATTTCAGCCCCTCTGTTCTTTGGCTTCAGCCAGAATGTGTGTTTGAGAGTGGGAGTGTGCTAGTAATTTACTGCTGCTATCAGTCAATAGTAAATTAAAAGTCGCTAGGGAACAAGTGAGGGAGTAGGGAAAAAAATTTGGCGCTCAGAACTGTAATTCCTTCCCAGGGATGTTACTGTTTCCATTACTGCAAGCAGGGTTTCATGATATATTGAACTCTAAGCTCTTCAGGGCAGAGATAATGACTTTCTATTTGTTATGGCATAAAAAAAAGAATAAAAAATGGCAGAGCACTGACTACCAAATGCTGTTAAAATTATGGCTAAATTCTTTTGTAAACCGGTGCAATAAAAGCATATAAATCAGCTAAACAATAATGGGACATGTAAGGAAACAAAGCCGAGTCATTACGCTACAACTACATGGAAATAAATCACTTCGCTCTCCTAGACAATGCTGTATTGATTTACAGAGCTATCCATATGCAAGTTAATAACCCCAGAGTGTAAATCGCTTGTTTTCATTTACATTGACCGTATTTTCTTGCATATAATCTGTCGGTCATTTGATAAAAAGGCCTACAGTTTGGAGAAGCCATAAGCACATGCACACAATGTTTACGTAAAGGGAAGGGTTTTCCATAACCCTCTTACCTCCCCATAGCAGACAAATCCCTCCTAAGGGATAGCTTTATTTTAGTTAGTGATTATACATTATTGGGAAGCTTTAGTTTTAAACGAGTGCGAGTTACCTGAAACATGATATACAGACAGAAAACATAATATATGTAACTTGTTGCTATCTTTAGGTCATAAAAGGACAATAGTCCATTGTCGACTTTTCCTTAAAAATTATTTAAGAGGCAAGCATGCTGCTTGTTTTCATTATTTTATAAAATTCATTACCCCATGTCCCTGAGAATAAACTCTTAATGGCATTTGGTTAAACCATACTTAGGTGTACATTAAAGAAAAAGACAGTAAAACCCCCTCCATACATTTCTCACAGTGCTTTCCCGTCAGTCCATCTTTGCAGTGACACTGCTGCCAGGACCAGTGATCAACACAGGTGCCACCATGTTGGCAGGGGCTGGTCGTGCAAGCACCTTCTAGTCTGGGACATCTGAAACAAATCAGAAAAGCAGATGCTGAAGAATGCACGCACAAATGAGCGGAGCAAACATGCTGGGAAGCGTCCTGTGTTTGAATGATACTCCCTTTCTTCACCCCCGGAGACGCAAAAATGTAGAGGTTCTTCTCCATAGACAGCTCATGTTTCTAAACAGATTCCAATTTTGAGTGTCAAGTTATGACAGTCTTACGGAAGAGAAAGGAATTCAGAGACAGTGAAACTCCTACTATCTGTTACGCAAAAGAAGAAGAAACTCTTTTAGGTGCTTTTTACGCTGCAGTCCTCCAGAGACTTCATATCACAATGAACAGCGCAAACTTGGGGGTTGAAAGAGGACGAGTTGGGTACAAAATTTGGATGAAAGACCGATATTATTGCTACAGTTGTGACTTCAAATACTGAGATGGAAAAAACAATAGAAACAGATAGTTCATCATTTCTGAAAGACCACTCGGAGGATATGAGGGAAATTCAGGGATACTTGAGAGGCAAAGTGATAGAACAGACATTGTGGATTAAAAAGAAATAAGAGGCAGCAGAGGGTTAGCAAACTGTATGAGTACAGTCAAACCCAGGTGGAACTGATAAAGAAATCCAATAACAGGGCTACTCTATTTCAGCCTGCAAAGCAACATTAATAATAATTGGCAATAGAAATACAATGATGTTGCTTTTTTGAAGCCTCGGTAATCTTTTGTGAACCTTTCATCCAAATTCACTTTCTTCCTCCATTTTTCACACTTTACAATAAATTCTACAGTCATTTTTTTTTTACAAGAAATATCTGATGGTGTCTGAAAGGAATAGTGTCTGACTTTCATGATAGCTTCCTTTATTGTAAATGCGGTGCATTCGATACCATATATAGCAGACGTACCGATCTAAGATTCCTTGAGCTGCTAAAGCCTGGCTGGGCTCCAGGGGACGTCCGTTGACTGCAAACTCCATTATACAGCCTACAAAATCATGGCTTTCCACCTGTCCTCTCCTTTGAAGGATGGGCTCTACAGACCTGATGCCACCAACAGTAACTCGATTTGGCTGTACATCAAGAGTCCTATAAAACAGTCAGAAAAATAATTTATCAGTATCAGACATTAAGACAGCAATGACAACACAGGAACTGTAACCATCAGCTATGGTCTGCGGCTAAAATTCCTCTTCTGAAATTCATATTTTGCATTTAGGAGGAGAGACAGAGAGATCAGTAGCGCTTGAACTAACAGTTACAATGGGTATGAGTCTAAATTCACACTCAGTTATTGCACGTCAAAATTTCTATTCAGTTGACTGAGCAGCATGCTTGAAATCATAATGAATAACAATTTTTACTCAATTATCGTTTAAATTGTAGATGATATTTAAATAGCTAGAAGATGGATTCATTATTTTACAAAGATGTAACACCTTTGCTAGTGGGGAAACCACATGTGACAGGAAATATGATTGTGGTCAGTGTAAGAAATTAGCCAAAATGATTGGGATTAAAGTTACTGTTATCTCCAAAGAGGATCTAAAGATGCAACAGAAAGGCTTCTGATTTAGTTATGGTAAACATGAGAAATAAGGTTTGTTCTCTGTACTGGCCAATGTTTAAGAAATGAAAACTATAGAAGATGACATCTGGAAATTATTGAAAACCATGTCAAAGTAATTACATATTTTTTTTTTTTTTAAAGAAAACAGTAATCAGGTGATGTCATTTCTTACACTTTTATAAAAAAATGAGAGGTGCAGTTAAACAAAGAAATAAATACAAGACCCCAAATCATTAGGGAATAAGTCTTATCCCTGTTTACACCCCAGTGCAGACTACCCATGGCCATACATCTCTCGTGTGCCACCAGAGCCTGGGGACAGAGATGGAGTCGAGAATTGGGGATTCCTGAATAAACTCCTTGTCATGAATAAACTCCATGCAGAAATGCAGCCTGAGTTAGCAAGTAGCAGTACGTGTAGAAAATTTAATTTGCTTCTGCAGAGATGGGAGAAAATGACACTTGGGAGCCTTGTCTTTGCATGCCTCTGAGCGAGTGCAGCTGAGGTATCCATCCCTTGTGCGAGGCTTGGCTAAGGGCATGTAATCATCACTCCAAATTTCTCTGGCTTTAGAAGGTGATTTCTTTTTCATTTTGCTCCAAAGAAACCCCCACAAAATGAGGAATTATTTACCAGTCAGTAGAAACAGCAACATTGCTAACAGTGCAGTAGCCTGGCTCCTGATCCTCAGAGCAAGAATCCACTGTCAGTGATGCTGCCTGCAAAAGCCACACACAAATACGCTAAACATTACAAGGTTGTAGTCCCCAACCACATTAAATATTTATGATTATATGTACTATATCATAGAGTTGGCTAGAACAGAGCACTTGTATATTACTATGTCACTTGGGATCACAGGTTGCTTCAGAGCCACTGATCAACTACATTCTGCATCGACATAGTGAATACCAAGATGTAGATACTAACAGAGAGTGAGCTCATTGACTGCTTCATACAGAGAATGAGTTAAACACAAAGTTTTCAGATTCGGGTAGGGTTTCTTTCATGTTTGTTTGCTTTACTCCTTGAAACTGCAGTTATGTTGGCTCGTACTGTATCCTACTCTTGATCTGAACAGAGAGCAGCTCCCTCCAAACACAAAGGGCATTCCTTCAGGGGCTTGACCATGACATTAAACATATTGCTTGAACTTGATAAAAAGCACGTTACAAATGCTGGGATTACAAATGCTGAGATTACTAGTTAAAAATAATAACAAATCACTCAATAATAGTCAAAGAGTAACCAAGTGGACCTGATTAGGCTGGTATGTCATGAGGGATGTTTGCCACACATTGATAATGGTGAAACATGTGGATATCTACAGTGGGACCAAGCTGATGTTCAGAGAAGTACCAGGCATCACCAGCACTTAAAGCAGTCTTCCTCTTTATTATTATCTCTAAGCCATCGAGGCCCAGACAACCGAGTTGCCTCATTACCCATCTCAGTCATTTACACTGAAGCGAATCACGGCACTTTTATTTGAAATCTCTAAAAGTCTAACCAAAGCTTTCACTAAAATCATGAAATAATTCCTGTTGATTTAAAATGGAGTTTTTATTTTACTTCTTATTTAGCAAAGAACTTTCCCAACAGCGATTTATTAATAACAGATGCATTGAAAAAGAAAAAAACCGCCCTGAAGGTTAGTTATTCCTTAAAACAAATTTTCAGAAAAATAAACATAATCTTCTCCAAATTGTACATATCAGCTTTTCATGTTTCAACTAGATGTGTGGCACAGTTTTACAGCAAATTTAAATCAAATGTCACTTTTAAAAATGCCTTGGTTTATATTTTGATTTAGGTTACTCTACAGGAGCTGAGCAAACAGCAATAGCTATCAGTACGTCATTACTCTGCAATGGCTTTTTTTCCTGCCTGCAACTAAGTTCACTAACAACGTCCTGTTGAAATCTCCATAGATTGTCCATGCTATTTCCAAATACATGCTGTGAGTTGACTCATTGTATTGACCAAATAAATTCATAGCTCTTAGCCCTAAATCATGCCCTACAGTATGCCTAAATTGTTCAATTTGCTAATTTTAAAGAAAGCTTATCTTTAATTTCTTTCCATACATAATAAGCAAACTGCTTCTCCCAAGAAATGTCAGTGTGCGGTTCCAAAGCAGATTATAGCCCTGTATAAATGAAACAATTCATAGAAAGAATAATAAGCTGGCTGGCCTGTATGCCATCACATGCATACATATTTTCCTTCAGCATATCAACAACAAAAAATGAAATGAATTTTTTGTTCTTAGCTCAATCAGCCTAATCTCCCCAACTTACATTGCTATGCGCTGTGAAAGCCAAGCTACAACCCCAGCTGAAGGGCTGGATATTTGAGAATATATTTTACTTGGACCAGAGTTCATACAATTTATTTTCTAATGTTAGTCAAATGTTCCTGCTTGTTACTTTAGCATTACTCTACGGTTACCTTGCCGCATTGCGAGACTTTCTATCCTGTCACTCTGCAATAGCTCAGGACTGACAACTTAATGATTTTACCAGTTTCCGATAAAATCCCACTGTGCTGTAGGAAATGACAGATTTGGAATCCTGAAGGGGGGCTATTTTATACAGTTTTGGACACCTGGGAGACATTTCTCCTGGAGCAGAAATATCCAAGACAAAGGCGATTCTTTCACATACTGTGTTTGTAAACAGCTGACGTTACTGAGAAGGTTTAAATGTTAAAAAAAAAAGCAAAACCAAAAACATACAAAGGTATATGTTGTCTTAAATGTTTGCTTTCAGCCTGAAGCATTCATAACTGAAATTTTCTGTGAATAGTCATTTTTATGTTATCTCTTCTTCTATGTTTTAGCCTTCTGGCATATCTACCAAGTAAAACATTTTCCTGTGCTATTTTTTTTCTCAAGTGTATTTCATTTATTTGTTGTAATATTTAATGTGTGCTCCTATGCTTAGCCATTTAAATCTTATTGATAGAAATATCACACTAATTTAGTTGCTAAAATGGGAACATGGTGCCTTTCAAGATCTGGAAGCTGCAATGCAAATTATTAAGTATCTGATATTAAGGCATGTTAAAACAGTCATTACTCAACATCACAATTATGCTTCATCTTATTTGCATATGTAACTCCTACAAACACACACAAATTGGATTTGCAAGTCCAGCTGAAGACTAAACCATCCCCGCTTCAACAAATGGAGAAATCAGGTCTCGCACTACACAACTGAAATGCAGTTTCAGGCTCAAGACTCTCTAAGAGAGAAGAAAAAAGCACCATTTAGGAAGGTCAGAAGACAACCCTGGTCCTACAAAGAACCCTAAGGTAATACATCCCTCTGCTGCTCTCTGGACATCTCACCCCAGACTTGAAGCTCTTCAGCAGGGTGCTCTGAACAGAGCAGCTTAAAAATATAAAAGTGCCGTATCTCAGCAGCACTGCCTTCTGCAGAAGTTCGTGATGGGCAATCTCTACAAGGACTCAGGGGGAGTCACACTGGGTAGAACAGTTTATTCTTTTATTCCCTACATTACTTCTGGCTTGAAATATATAAAACGAAATGTAGAGCCCCAATCATATATTATTCTTATACGACTTTAATTTCAGACGTGGGAAGAATACGGGATTCTGCGGATGCTGGCCACTTCTGCCTGAGAAGGGAGCTGTTGGGCAATAGTTACTGATTATGGATGGCAAATAGATTTGGTTTCATTTCTAACTCAAACACTGTGGAGTCAAAAAGCTTGGCTTGAAGTCAAAGAGCATTTGGTTTATGTTCTGCTTTGGAAATATTATTAAAAAATGAGAGAAGAGGGATAGAAAGCATTTACTGGAAAAAAAAAACAAAGGCAAGAGTCGGGTCAAAGTACCAGGCATATGGCAATCAGTTGTCCCGATCCAGTTCTTGGCAAAATTCCTCCCCTCAGATGGTTTCTGGGGGACAAAAAGAGAAGTAACTTCCTTCCTTCCTCCCCAAAACCCCTCTCAATGTAGCACCTTTGAAGTTTTTACATGTATGCCACAGAAGAAAAACAGGCTTCCAGGCTGATGAAATTGGTAAAATCTCTGAACTACCTGAAAGAGGTCAGAGATGCCTGGAATTCTAAGTTTGTCTGCTTCTATTTCCAAATGTTGAGAAAAATTATTTTGAGGCTTTTTGTAGTTACTACGGTTAATTAGCCTTCCCTGGTAATCATCCCTGTAATCTGCATCTGTTAATTAGCCTCATGTGTAGTAATCTATTTCATTAATTATTCTTGGTTCTCATTTTTCACATTTAGAGTACACAGCATTGCACATGTTTTTTTAATTATTCTTTATCATTATCGTACTAAACAAACCATTATAGGTCTTTGAGTCAGTTGGAGCAAGACAGAAACGAGGGAGGTTTTTTCCAAAGTTGGAGGTTCTGCTAGCAAACGCAACGTTACTAATTTTATGTTCCTCTGAGTTCATGTGGAAGCCAAAGTGACTTGGCTGAACTTGTCTTAAATTCTCATTTTAGCATTTCTTACCATTCCAGCCCTCCGGGCAATAACTGTGTGAAATTGTCCATCAGACACCTTCTTAGTTGTGGTAAGCTTGTACGTGCCACTGCCAAGATTGTAGGAGAATCTCAGCCTCTCTTCCACTATTTCCAGGGCCAGAAATTCTGCCCGCTCTCCAGTTTGGTTATCATAGTTATACAACATTAAGGCATTACTTTTTATAGTGGCAAACTTTATATAGATGTAGTTATTGTTTGGATCCATACTGGGAAACTCCATATATGACAGCTCTTCAAATCCATAACTGTTCAGTTCACAATGATTCCCAAAAACACCTGCAAAATGAAAAGTAAAATCTGATATCAGATAGATTTTCCTCGCTGTTCATTCTCCCAGAAACAGAGTATTGATGTGCTCTGGACATGGCTATGATACACAGGCTCTTTAAGAAACCTCTAATGTATTATTAAAAATATGCAACTTGAACAGAAGAATCCTATTACCCACAAATGGGTGCTGAAGTGTATACATTTAGACTTAAAAACTGAGTTACAAATGACAGCTACATCTATTGAAAAACAACGCACATTTCATTGAGCTCTACGGTTTCTTTAGAAAACAAAAGAAAAGCAAGCTTGACAGGTATGTCAGATATGGTTGTTAATTATCGTCAGGCATTTGTTAATCCAGTTATGGAAATAAATTTGCAACTTGAGCTTATTTTTCTCTTTATAGCTGTTATCCGAACTGTTTCTTAATCAGTGGTTCATTTTTTATACTTACGATAAAAGCATATATGTGATTAAAACATTATGCCCTCTTGTGTTTTTATTGAATATTTTGGGGTATTCTACATATTTCTTTTCAGATCTCTGTCACAAAATTTCCCTTTTTTTTTTTTTCTGCAGCGAGAGAAAAAACTTACTTAACTTATGAATATCAGTTCCATTTACAATGGTCTATGACTATATAGGAAATCAATAAACTCTGAGGAAACGTAAAACAAAGAAAATAAAAGAGAATAAAGAAGTTACTCCACATGTTAGTAGAAAACTATTCAGAAGTAGTTATAAATGTGCATCGAGAACAATACTTTTGTGTGAGCGTTTTTAGCAGCCTTAAAACATTGTAGATGATTTCTCAGGTTTATCTGTTTTTTTGATTAATCTGTTGCATTACTTTCATGCTTTTCTATATGAACAATGACAATTCTAGATTAATCTACATTTAGAACCAATCTTGTTGCAATTGCCACGTGCTTCCATCTCCTGCCGTGCTAGCAGAATATCGGCTTCTCTCTCTGGCAGCTGGGGAAAAATGGAGAAGTCAGGGCCAGGAGATGACCAACATCTGCCCACAGACCAGGATCCATATACACACCCATTGGTTTTATGCAGGTAAAAATAAACAGCGATTCAAGAAATATTAATAGGGAAAGGGAAGATCGGGCAGAGAGGGGGAGAAGCGTACTCACCGAAGGGGCAGTGGCAGTAATACCCCTCCACCCCGCTTTGGCAGGATCCACCATTGAAACAGGGGTTGCACTCACAGTAATTGACAGTGGAGTCGCACGTTTTCCCTGCAATTAGGGAATAAAAGCAATTTCCAGGTCAGAGTATTCAGGTCAACAGGAAAGTTAGGCTGGTATTTAGGTAACAAGCTTACAAACCAATGCTGAATGCACAGCCAGGAGAGAGGGTGGCAGGGAACGGTTGCGGCTCTGGGATGAAGAGAAGAAACACAGACACGATGCTGGGCTGCTCCCAGCCCGGACACAGGCATAATACACAGCCCAGAGAAATTAACTTCACTTTTCAAGCATCTCATTGTAATTAGTTCATACGGGTATTGGTGGTTTGTTTTTTTTTTTTTTTAATTATTTTTTTTTTTAATTAACTGGTGCCTGTAAAAGAGAGATCATGAAATGAAAGGAGATGCTGACCTAAAAATTAAACAAAAACATTTTTTTTTTCCCCTCCTATGAAATGCAATGTATTCATTAGTGCAAAAGAGATACAGACAGCTCTTGCTGGACCCTGTATGAACACAGCATGCTAAACACAGGCTGCTATTGTACATTATACGATTTTTCTTATTTTTCCTCATCAGTTACAACCTCCTTCCTGACTTGGAGGGACCACAGTCCTCTGGAGCTAAAACAAATTACCCTGGACACAGTCCTTTTCTAAGCAGACGTTGTCACACGTGGTAAATGTTATTCACCAGCGAATAAACTGAAATCACATAATTCATTTCAACAAGGAAGGGAACCAAGGGGAAAAGCGAAGATTTTAACAGATGCAAAATACTGACAAGGGGATTCTTTGTATAAAACTATAATTTTCTTTGTATGGAAACATTAATTACAAAAGTATTGGTCTTCACTTCTAAGTTTTTCATTGCTCAGCTTTTATCAGTTTAGCAAGACTTCTACTATGTATCACCTGTCTTCCCTCCGCCAGCAGTGCCAGCCTTTGCTGCCTGCTCAGCAAAATCTTGAAAGTATTGTCATGTTTGTCCCTCATGTTTCTCTG